AAGAAAAAACAGAACAGTAGAATTAACTGCAATCACTTTTCAGTTCTGTGAGATAGACCAGATTCCAAGTCATCTCCCTAGAATATTTTTAACCTTCCCATCGGGCAGCAGCAGAGTCCTCACTAATGAAGAGCAAAGCTGCAGGATGAAATCTGATTCAGGAGACAATGAAGCAAGGCATCTTTGGGAATTGTATAGAGCCTCTGCACCAAGATATACCCCAGTCTAAAAGCAGTCACTCTGAGTAGCATATGCTAAAATAACGGTCAAAAATCTTACTGCCACAACAATTATCTAATTATTATCTTGGGAAAACTACATATTCTTTTGAAACAAATGCTATAAAGTAAACTCACCAAGCATAATTCCCCAATAGTTAAACTACCTCATCTGTCCCTTTTGATTTCAGAACCGTTCATGTACGAGTGTTACATTAATGCAGCTGGACAACTGAGTTTAAACACAAGAGTAAGAAAATCCAGTTATGACTCCTACAACACTGGCAAAGCCAGCTTTATCGCTGAGCCAAAATACAAATACAGAACTCAACCAAAGAGAGAGCAGTCACTGTGGGACTTTCCATTCTGAATTTGCTGACCCTTAGAAATCAGAAATTTAAACCAGTTCTCTTTTGCCACTAGCAGCAGGTCAGATCCTCTGTGCCTAAAAAATAGCCTAACCCTTGCAGGAAACCTTACTTTCCAATCCTGACCCATTTCACTTCCTCAGCACTACAAAACTTCTGTGAAAGTCAGTAACCCTCTACTCATAGCCATTATGCCTGCCACAAAAGGGTTACGTTGTGCCCTAAAGCATATGTTCCCAGAACAGCCCATAAGGAGGGTATCCATACAGGGGTCTCAAGGTTTGCACGGCCTGCTCCTAGCTCTGAAAAATCCCCCACACAGCCTTTCCTTCAGGAGTTCCCCTTGCATTTAGGCAAACGCTACAAGCATACACCTTTTAATAGACACCACTCTCCATACCACTGCCACTTACCTTTATTAGCCTATCCATCAAACCAAATATATGCCTACTTGACCAAGCAGCACTGATGATTCTCTTGATCCTCAACACAGATTGGACAGGAGCACAGGACACAGACTGTGCCTTCCCAGACACTAGTATGCTGATGTTCATGCTACAACATACCAGATCTCATCTGAATATCCTTAAAACCCTTCCTTTTACCCGCCTTCCAAAGTCCACTACGAGACTGCAACGTGGAGAGGCCAAACTCCACACATTCTTTTCCCTCTTACAAGCAAAGGCAAGAAGCACAAAGCACTTTGCCTGACCACTCGGCATGAAGAGACAATACTTACATGTCTTCAAATTCATGAATAAGACAGTCCTCACCCATTGACTGCACTATCTTTCCAAGGACCCTGCTCTCCACCAGCCTAAAAATCCTCAACTACCAGGCCTAACCAGAGCATATGGAGCAGTTTGTGTTTTGTTTTGGTTTTTTTTTTGGTGGTGGGCTTTTTCTCCTAACGCAGTTATCACAAAAGAAAGGTTAGTGGGCAATCTAACATGGTAAATAAGTGTGATTCAATGCCTTGCCTCTGACACGTACCAATATAAGGTGATTTAGAGGATGGAGCAAGGAGCCTCAGTGGACAATTATGGAACAAACTGCCCTTTCTTGAAACCTTTACCTGTTAAGAGATTGGGTTATGTCTGAAAAATACACCTTCTAAAACAAGTTCTTTAGCTAAAGCAAGTCTGAACATTTCCACTCATAAGTGCTTGATCTTTTCTGAATCCCGCTCAGCTCTTAGCCTCAATGCTATTATGTGGTAGTGAATTTCCACAGATTAGACATCATGTGAAAATACTTTAAAATCATTATTCAGTTTGATGCCTATCAGTTTCACTGAATTGCATTCATCTCAACTGAAGAATACATTCCAGCTCCTTCACTGCTGCACAGCAGTCTTCCTCAGGCTTGGCATCCAGCATTGTTGAAAATCAGAGGAAAACTGAGCCCACCCAAGTGATGCTTATCCTGCATTCCAACCATTGCAATGCTGTTCTCACACTCCTACACGGCCTTCCACGCCATTTCCTTCCTAAGCACAGCTCCCAGGAGGACACTCCAGAGAGGGTGGTTCATGTCATTCCAAATATGAGACAGCCTACAAGCTGCTGCTTTTGGCCCCCTCCCTGTCTGAACATATTAGCAATAAGACCATACATGAACATTCTGACAATGAGGAGAACAATTTCCAACTCTGGGTCAAACTGGGGGGACAAAAAAAGAGGAAAGATTAAAGTCAAAATTATTCAGCCAGATAAGGCGTTACAAGCTGGGGAAACAAACAAACAGGTCCTGGGAAGGGAAAAAAGAGGGGGTGTCAGAATGCCCACTTGCCTTAAACAAGGCAGGGCCTGACTTGCAGGCTATAGCAATTCCACTGTGAACAGAATACACAGGACAGTGGAGCACACAGGGGTCTGCTTCATTTTGAAGCCACGGCTTGGAATATTCTTTTCATCTCTCCTTCACTGAGCTTTACTAAAGCATTCAACACCACAGCATCCAAGCATCTTATAGACACTTATGGACTCTTCCTCAAATCCCCAGTAAGACGGGCGTTAATAATATTTTGCAACCAAAGAATGAAGAGCGGGAAACCGTAATGATGTGAACATGTTCACACAATAAATCTGTGGCAGAAATTAGGTATCCTACATTGCAGTTCAGAATTCTGACCGCAGGGTCATCCTTCCCCTCCAACCAGCTGTAAAGGTACTTCAATTTTAAAAAGTAACATTCTTCCTGCTACAGTTACAGACCCAGCCAATCTAGATCTAAGGAAAAGCCCTCAGGTAGGGGAACTGGCAGGGAAACAGGATGGACGATTTCATGCCCTAAGGCATTAGCCCTGCTTGCACAGATTACGCGCATAGTTCCTTTGTAGTCCTGTGTAAAATGAATTTCAGAGAGGATCATATTTACCCAGTTACCAGTGACCTGAAATACACACAGCTAGTGCAAATGCCACAAGCACTCACTCTCTTCTTAGCTCAAGCTGTCGTAAAAAAGGGAGTATCTTCCCAAACAAAGCCTTCAAGCAAGAAGATGAACGCTCCCAGCTTCAGGACCCTAAATTTATTCTCAAAGCATCAACCAAGTTCAACAGCCAAGAAAATCTGCTCTATTATGACAATTTCAGTTCCTGATAACCCCAGTCAAAAGAGCAGAAATGAGTCAAAAAGGTGTCAAGACAGATCGCCATTTCTTAGCCAAGGAATCCTGCTGTCTAATCTGTATCACATGCAGACTCATTTGAGACCTCTACATGTTGTATTTCTCCCAACAACTCGAAAGGCCGAGGGTTATTAGCCACTACTACGTTATTCTTGTCACACTGTGCTGTAAAAGCTAGGCCCTTGTATACAAGTATACAACACAGTTAATTAGTTATGATCTAACCTCCAGAACTATTTATTAGGACTACACTGTAGACATAGTGACACATGGAAATCTGAGAGTCCAGTTTTCAGTGGATCCTCCATAAAACATAGCACAACATTTTAACAGGTTAGGTAGCTCACCTTTAGAAAAATCATCAGCCTCCAGGACTCAAAATCATCAAGTCTACTTCAAACATCTACCGAAAAATAGTTGCATTTTACTGACACTTGTTTATCTTGCTATTGTTCAAACAGCTTGGCTTTCTTCACCTTTCTAAAAGCACTTTATATGCCACACCAGCTGCCACAAACCCTTTATCCAAGTCAGCTCTGGTACCATTCACACTAGCACGTTGACCAAAAAAAAAAAAAATATCACTCGTCCCACCTGACTTTATTTGTCCTGCTCTGGGACAAAAAGGGGGCAGACCTGCAAAGGACTATAATGACTATACCTGTTTCAAAAGAGTCTATTTCCCCTACATACTATGTCACAGGACTGTACTTAGAGTGGATGACAGAAGTAAGAATCCAGGGTTTGAAAGCTGCAAAGCAAGTGACTTAGCAGCAGCCAACAAACAACTTGAAAGAGATTGGAAAAGAATGCAAGGTCATCTTTGGTTCAGAAAGCTGGTTTGAGGAGGCAACAGGTCTTGGCACGTAACTCATTCCCTCCTGACCCAATGCCTTGTTAATATTAAAGATGAAAATAGCCATGGGCTGCACTTTGGAACTCCACTGACCCTGCTGAAATGCATTCCCATGCTTTCAAGAGTACTGGGTGCCTGGGAAGGAATGAAAAACCAAAAGCTCCTGATACCACAGCTAAAACCTGCTAGCTTAAATGCTGATTTAGCATCCAGAAGCTGAAACACATTGTACGCAAAGCACTGTTGGAATAAATATGCTCTCTGCAGTGATACACTAAGTGAAGAAAAGAGAAAGGAGTTGTACTAAAAGTGATTTGACAGCTGAAAGGTATGATCAAAGGACTAGCTGCTGGGTACCAAATAGCTGCCCCACCAAACTGGATCTCAACAGTGAGTCCAGGAGAGGACAGAAAGTCCAAAGGTACACCTGCACCACCCATTAGGGGATCAGTTAAATTATGGGTGGAAAAAACAATGTACTCGAAGAAATAACCTAACAGAACAGAGGATCACTACAATTACTTAACTTTGGCATCACAATTATTGCAAGAGCAGGATCATCAGAAAGGATTCCATTGGGATTCTGGCAGGGTAGATCTCTTGTGATTACACAAAGAACACAGCTACTTCAGCACTGGCACAAGAGACTTAGACTGCTTCTCTGGATGGTGTGTAAAGAGCACTCTGTTACATCTTTAATTGAACTTTTCTTCACAGAAGCTCTTACTGAATTTTTCAGGGTCACTCCCATTCCACTGATACCCCTGGCCTCTCAATTCAGGCAACAGAGGCCTACTATGATGCAGAGAGCACCACAGAGAGATACAGTTTTACAGATATGTAGTTCACACATTCTCAAAAAATTTAAGTAGTGGGACCAAAAGAACACAGTCTGACGCAGCATCAGCTCATTCCTGGCTTTCTTACCTGCTGCCTGATACTTCAACAAGGATTCATTGCTTCCTCATACGTAGACCCCTTATCCCAGTTTCTTCTCTGAATCTGTAAAACAGAGATGCATACCTCTGAAAAGTTTTCTCTGGCACAGAACTATCTACATTTGATGGATGATTCTTTTCAGTGGACAGCCTCCACCTGGCATCTCTCAGATCTAATCACTCTCAGCCCTGCCAGACTTGCATATCATTTGCACACTCTAATGTCTTACCAATGCAATCTCCTGCCCACCTAAAAACACATTTATTAGCACTCAGTCTTTTACTCTGCTCCATGCAGTGTGCTCAAGCCCAGAGCCAGATGCAGTTCAGCATTTATTATTCACCTGTTTTTCTTTAAAGTCTTTCCACATTTCCAGGGGCTGCTCACTAATTCTATAGTAGGAAGCATCCCTTGCACTAGAGAGGGTGTCGACGCTGGTAGAGAGGTCCCCATTCTCCCCTTCCAGGTGTGGCACCACGGGAGTGCTGCTCCCTCCCTTACAACTCTGCCTCTGTCAGTTATACTCTGGTTCTTTAACACACACACACACACACACACACACACTGGCCCAGACTTGTTCCACTTTGCAGCTCCTACTCCAGCAACACTCCCTGCACAGAATCTGCTTTCTCATCCCCCACACCATCTACCCCTCCATCACCCAGACAAGGCTACACCCTGCACGGACCCGGTTCCGCCTTGCCGTTCCCACGCCTGCTCCACTCCCTGCCACAGGTCTCCCCCCAAGCAGGGAGAGCGGCCCAATGCCCTGACGGCCGAGGGGGTGGCACTACCACCCTCCCTCACGGGACGCCCCTTTCCCCGGGGCCGAGGCTGTGGCCCTACCACAGTCTCGCACCGGCAGCCGCCTGCCGCCCGCCCCCCCTGCCTGACTCCCCCTGCCCACGGTGCGACCCGCTGTCCTCGGGGCACTCGACACCTCCTCCCGGCCCCGGCACACACACGGGGACAAGGAGAGCCCCCCGCTCGCAGGGCGCCGGCCCGAATCCCGTTCGGGGAGGCCGGCGAGGCCCGGGGAGGCTGGGGGGGCCCCGCCCGGGCCCGGGCTCTGTCCCCAGCCGTTCGCGTTCCCCGCTCCCCGCCCCCGGGGCCCCAGCCCGGCTCTGACCCGGTCGGGCACGGCTCCGCCCGGGGTCCCAATGACTTTGCGGCCGGTTCTGCCCCGGTTCAGGCCCGCCCCAAACTTTGCCCCCGCTCGGCCCGGCCCCACGCTCTCGCTTCAGGCCGCCATTTTGCCGCGGGGCACGCCGGGTAATCCGGCGGAATCCCCACGCTGCAGCGCAGCTGCGTCATCGGGCAGCACGGCAGGGGGGCGGGGCCGGGCGCGGCGGCGGGCGGGCGGTGCGTCTCCCCCGTCACCACGGCAACGCGCGGCGGGAGGGGCGGGCGACGGGACGAAACCAACAGGGCCGTGCGGGGGTGGCGCCAGGGCGAGCGAACCCCGGTGTTAGAGGGGGGGGGGGACGGGGGGGGGGGAACGCGGCAGAGGGGGCCGGTGCCCCCGCCCTGAGGAGGGGGCGAGGGGGCTGGTGCTCCTCCGGGGGGAGGTGGGTGCCGCCGCCGCGGCTCACCCTGGCCGGTCCGGTGGGGTCTGGGGCCGTTGTTCAGCTGCCTGTCGCTGCGCTGCTCTGGCAGAGGCCTCGCCCGGCCGGGGCAGGATGCAGAACCTGGGCCCCCCCCCCCCCCCCCCCCCCCCCCGCCTCCCCGCCCCTGTCCTGCCTTTGCTGCTGGAGGCTCCAACAGAAGAGCCGGGCTGCAGCCCCCCGTCACCTAACAGCCTGCCTCCGAGGTAACGCGGTTGAGCGCAGACCTTGAAACGAGGCAGCTCAACCCCTGAGTTGATGAAGATGACAAGGAAAAAACAAAAAAAAAAAAAACAAAAAAAAAAACATACAAACAAAAACATACAAACAAAAACCAAACAAACAAACAAAATAAAAACAAACAAACAACAACAACAAAAAACACAAACAAACAAGCAAACAAAACAAACAAACAAACAAACAAACAAAAACGTAGTATAGGCTGAGTCGCAGCAATTGGAGGCTGTGGGTGCGCTTGGGACCCCGAAATGGGATGACAGTAACTGCAGATGATCTGCCCTCTTCAGGTCTTCGCCAGCCAGGACAATTCACTGGGAGCCAGTGTCCAGGATCAGCTCCTTCCCCCTTGTTACCTGCCTCAGTTTCCGAGAAACATCCTGACAGTCTGGGGCGTATCACAGCCTGTCACTAAGGGAGTATAACCCCATCCATGGGGCCAGGTGGAGAAAGAAGGAGAGGGAGAGAGTACTAAGTGGAAAAATCCACCTAAAGCCCCCAAGGACAACTGCCTGCTTCTTAAAGGAGAGGGGCTGAGGACAGCATGTACCAGCCAAAGGCAAACAAGACCTAGTCAAACCTGGACACAATTTAGTAATGTTCTTTGGTCTTTATCTGCAAAATCTTCCACCCCATTGTTCTAGCCTTGGGACTTCTAGAAATCAGTACATTTTAATTTTGAACCAATTGCCCCATTTACTACACTGAGCTCACGCAGGTACTTTGTCCAATGCTGCTCATGCTTGGTGCACAGACTTACCTTCTGCTCCACTTCCCTCTTACCGTCTCTTTCACAAACATCTCCTGAATTCACTATTCAGATGGTAGATAATGGAGCCTAGTCCAGAGGAAATTTGCACAGTTAAGAAAAGTTCTGATAGTATTTGGATGATCGTCAATGTACTACACTTACAAAGCCTTCAGATTTGCATTCAGGTAGTACCACGCTTGCAGCACTGCAGATTCTGCCCAAATGGTCCCCTCTCTTACACAATAAAAGACAGGTGCTCAGCAGGACCCCGATTCCATGACCTTGGGAATATTGTGCAAAAACGTCTGCTGCGCACCCAGCAAGTGCCGTCTGCACCATGCCACGCGTCAGCCAGGGATATTTCAAGAAAGCCTTTGGTACTTGTGCCCCCATAAATTCTCCAAATCCTCCCTGTGCTGGAGTCAGATAACAAGCAGAAGGACAATGGCTCCAAGAATCCAGGCTGCCCATCTGCTCTGCACTTCCAGATTCTTGCTTCCACAGCGCCAGCTGATGAAATTTTCATAGCTGATGAGGTTTCTCATTTCCACCAGGCCTTGCTGCCTTGGAGCCTTCACAGTTGTGGTCTGTTCAGGTTTCCGTGGGTGCGCGCTGATGGCAGCAATGATTAGAGTCCTTTGCTTTCTTTTGGTGACCTGTCAGAGTAGGATCTTCAAGCTTTTTTCAAGTCTAGGTGAAATAAGCCACACAGGAAGGGAGAATTTGATTTTCAGATGGTCTCGGCATTTGCCGCTTCCATTAAACCCAACTCTTCTCAAAATCAGATCCCAAGGTCGGACAGCCGAAAGGGGACAGGAACTGAACTCCAGATGCCTGAACACCAGTCACCTGCTCTGAGCACCAAAAAACACTCTTTCCTCAGATCCCCAAAGCCTTGATTCCCAATCCCTTTCCTTCTCCACATACATCCACCCTGCCTTCTCCTGTATCCAGTATGCTTATGAGCTGGACTCACCACTTCCCTGAGCCCCGAGATGTGACATGATGCGGAAGCATGACGTTAGGTTACATTATATTCATTTATATAACACCATTAATACCAAAGTGCTGCTCCCTGCTAGAGCCAGTTGCTCGCTAAAGCCTCTGAAGTTCAATTAACAAGCACCAGGTAATCTAACACTTGACTCCCAATAATCCTTTTATTTTAAGGGGCCTCTGGCGGATGTAAGCCCTCAGCAAACAGTCCTGGAAGTACATTTGAGATTCTCTCAAATACCAGCTGAATTTATGACCCTTAGTGAAGAGCAGGGAGGAATCTCTTCAAAATACTTTCCAGCTGGCAGCACTTTATATAGACCCCTGTAACTGTATAAAAGGAACCCCTGGAGGGGCAGATGCCACCCTGTGGAGGGACAAATCCCTCTGAAGTGCCTACGGTCTTGGCTAGTGAAGCAGATGCCAGAAATAATGTCTCCCCACCAGAAGAAGGCAGTGCAGGCTTGGTCCTCTCAAGTTCCCCACCAACGTAGGTCAAGCAGGGAAGATGGCGGGTGCCAGGCCACCCTTTGGTGGCTGGCTCGGAGGCTGTCACCTGCCCGAGAGTTGTGTGAAGTCCCATTTCCTCCAGCTGGGATGCTGCAGTCCCAAAGGGACTCTTAGGAAATACCTCCTCCACTACCTCTCTGACTCCAGCTGCACAGAGGATTCCCCAGTAGACCTTAGCTGGGAAACCCTCAGAGGCAGAAGAGGTTTCATGGATGGGCTGAGCCTACCAAACCCAAAAAGCCTGAGACATATTTTGAGCAGAGCTTGCACTCTGGGATATGCCAGTACAAGAGGAGCTCAGCAACCAAAACCAACAGCATCTAAGGAACAATAGGATCAGCGAAGCACAGCCAGACTGGGACAGCCAAACAAGTCTGTGGATGCAGAATTGGACAGCCAAACATATCCTGCCAGTATGCCTGGAGCATGCACCTACCAGAAAAATACAACCCACCCGTAAAACAGTTGCTAACAACACCCACGTGTATAATTCAATCCATTCTGCTACATAAGAGTGAAGGTTGGGGCTCATTTTTAACAGGAAGATGCAACCCTCAGAGAACTCCTGGAGTTTTTTCAGAGGCAAACACTTTGCTGTCAGGATCCCCAGCAACAGCAGCTGACCAACAGAACTGTGCTGACCCATCCCAACGCAAAGTCCTGTTTGTCTTATGGGACTGCCTAAAGGCACCCGTCGTGGTTGGGATGTAATTGTGCTGGGCACTGCACAGAAAGACAAGCAGGCACAATATCCTGCCCCCAAGGCTTGAATCTCTGAATCTCTCGAATCTGTCTCAAAGTGTCTCTGCCAATATAGAATGGAGGACAAAGGCAGAACTGGAGAACGGCAACAGAAACCCACCGTCTCGGTACCCTGGCTCTTGGCACAGCTCCATGGTTTCATGCCATCATGGCGTTTGAGCAGAGAGGGATGTACAGCTCACACTGGTGTTTCAGACATACATAGGGTCACTTTCCCCCAGCCTGTATGCTTGATGAATACATTGCACATCAACACTTCCCCATTACAATTGCTGCCCATGCATGGGTTTTTTTTTTTATTTATAAATGCATATATATAAAAATAGAATAAAATAAATAGATATCAGTGACCCCTACTGGCCATTTCTAACTAGCCATAAAATAGCACAGCAACAGCTGGCTCTCACCTCTTGCCCTGTGCCTAGTGCCGTCTTTCGTCATGGGGCAGGGAGCACAGAGCCTGGCAGCAGTGGATTTGTAGTCTCTGTGCTTACTTTCCCCCGGCTGCATCACTCCCGAGGGCAGGCAGCAGAAATCGGGGTCTTCGGGCCTCAAGTATTTGGTTGTGGCAGCCCCTTCGCCTCACAGTTGGCTCCAGCCCATGCTCACCCAGCAAACCAATCCCAGTTCTTGCACCGGGCCCTGCACAGGTGCTTCCAACTCTTTCTCTGCCTGGCACCAGGGCTCTGCAAGGGACCAGGTACCAGGCTGTGACCTTGTACAGGGTATTCTACCAGAAAAAAAGCCGGTTCCCAGCTGGAACCCACACCATGGTTACCACTGCTCCTTGGGGTGAGCTCCCTGCAGGAGGAGGTGCCCCAGCATTGCACGGTGTCTCCTCCCAGCAGCCTCACCCGAGCCCCGCCAACGCTCCCTGTAAAGCCTTCGCCCCAACGGGTGCTAAATCCAGCATGGGTGCTGCTGTGCAACAGAGACTGAAGGGCAGTCGCCTTCCCGTGCCAGCGATTGAGCCTGGTGAGGGAGTGGAAGCAAATGGCACATCTGCTCGACGGGCAGGACGGCTGCGCCAATGCAAGGCAAAACCCCAAGGCTGGAGTCACGGTGTCAGCCTCAGACCGAGACTTGAGGGGCTCTGCCTCCCTTCCCCTTTGTCAAAACTTGTTTAGCTTGTCATGCTAATAAAGCCTTTGAAATGAACGGAGTTAAAAGTATGTGGAGAGGAAGGGGGAGGATGTCTCACCGGGGCGCACAGGGAGGTGGTGGAGGGGTT